TGCATTGAGTAATTTCAAAGCTGGAGTGCCAAAAAATTGGGACAATCGATTTTCACAGGCTTCTCTTGAAGCCAATTCATAACCCGCCAAATCATTTCCAATAGACAGGAACATATAGTAATTATTTGCTACGAGGTTTGCACTATAATGTGGTTATATAAGAACTTCCCAAACAAGCTTTTATATCCCCTTGGAGTGCCATTATCGTTCTCCTGATGAATTAAATTTTTACTCCTTTGGCCAACAGCTAGATGGTTCTTTAATATTTGATTTTGCTACGCTTTAGCAGCGATCCGCAGATTTAAATGGCATGAGTTCTCTGTATCCTTTTTCATGTGGTCCCAGACTAATTTCTATGTCATTTTTAGCTACTGGGCACTCGAAACAATGCTCGTGTGACGGTCATATTCGACGATTTTTATTATTTTATCTAAACGTGTACATTCGACAATTGGCTTTCTACGCCGTGGAGTGTCTTTTACATCAAATTGTCGGAGCGAGACCAAAAGGTTGCATGATTGGCTGTTGCAGTATCAGAACCATAAAAACTATTCACATTTTTATCTGCCTGATATGACTTGAATTTTCTCCTTTATCGAAGAAAAATTATGGAGTTTACCATATCCCTTTTTCTGGTGTCCATCTATGACATGCGGTCAATGACTACCGAGTTAGAGATCAAAACTTCTCTCATTATATTTTTTTCGTACAAAATGTTATATTTCTTACGCAACTTAATATAATTAAATCGCATTTACAAAACGCGAGTAAAGATCACTTAAAACCATTTATTGCCAAAAATAATGGATTATTTTATACCAGACCTTTATTACAGCAGAAATATACTATTTTTGTGTTTATTCTCTGTTATATTTCTCTATTATCGACTTTATTTGTTGATAATATACTATCCTCGAGCATATGATTACCTCTACGGTGTGTTTAATTTCTACATCAGCTACTTCACTAGGTTTGCCTCTTCACAGCTTTATCCTGAAGAAGCACAAATAGTACCGTACGTTCAAAGTGGAATCGATGTGAGTACAAGAACATATCAGTACTGTTTCTAGAATTGGATAAAACACAAGCGTACATTATCTGAGTAGAAGAATTTTGAAGGGGCCGAAATATATTTTGATGAACGAATTCAAAAAAATATTAACAATTTTCTGAGACAAATTGAAATTGAACTCGTTTATATGTACGTATGTATATGTAATTTGTATTTAAAAATTGCCCAAGATTTATTTATATTTAATACCTTCTAACTTGTCATGCCGATCACGGTGTATGTCTTCACTTAAACAATACGTATTTATAGCGTCTAGACAGCTCAGGAAAGATGTATATATATAGTTAAAAAAAGTAGTAAAAGTAAAGATATGTTTGTTTTCATTTTAAAAATAATTAACTTATTTTATTTTTTATTTTCATCGAAAAATAGAATCATATCAACAAAATATATATAAAAGCCATGCGTCAGTTAAATCAGATTTAAAATTCTGAAAGTGGTGAAATATAGACTTATATATATAAATATATATAATTGGCGCTTTGTAACCGCTGAAACGATCTTCGTGAAGGGACCTACATTTCTTACTTAGTCGCCTCCAAACGCTGATGGTGTTTTTATGAAGAGCTTTTGATTTTCATGTCATAAATACACCACTGGGAGGAGTTGAGGGGCTACCACTATTAGGAAATTTAAATTTATTTTCTATTTAGATTAATTTTTTCTAAAATTTTTTTAATGTTAGTACGACTGCAAGGTTTGAACGCGAGCCCTTCGAATGGCAGTAAGCAATGCTAACTACTCTGCTACCGCGGTCGGCGATATAAATATATATTGTTTTGTATTCAGGTTGTTAAATTTAATATTTGTATTTCCTTTAATTAACGCCGCACTAGAAAGTGAAAAATGAAAAAATATACTTTCAATAACACAATGCCAACTATAAACACCAGTCACATACTCGAAAACAATTACAGCAATTAATTGAATATTCGAAAAAAAAATTAATAGAAAATAAATCCCAAATCGAAATCAATTAAAAACGCAATTAATACAACATATAAATTAAAAGTAGGAATTCTGCAAAATCATAGTCCAATGAAAACGAATGTGCGCAGGTGAAATAAAATATTGCAAGCAACAACACAACAACAACCTCAGAGCAAATTACGTATGCTTATAACAATCAATAAAGTTTAGAGAAGAAGTGTATGTGAAGTTAGCAGCAGCAGGCGGCAGCAGGAGGTCTGCCAATTTCAATCAAAAAGTATTGAATTGAATTTTTTTCAGCAATTTTTTCTTCACTATATTCCTTTTTTTCCTTTTATTGCGGCACCTTGCATTCCGACCCAGCCGAAGTTGTTGCTGCCACTTCCGCCACCTTTTACCCGCCGGTCAAAAAAAAAAAAAACAAAGGTCTAATGCTTAGGCGCGCATGCGCATTCAACCATTCAACCAACCAAAGCGCGAAAACGAAACGTACAAAAAAATGGCAACCAAAAAGCGAAATCTTCTTTCGTTGCAAATTAATTTTCCTGCTGGCCAAAACGAATTAATCACTAAAATGCGGCTGCGGCCTGCTGTCGCTTTCGTTGTTGCTGCTGTCATTTCGCCGCCGCCAATAGTTGCAACTGTTGCACCAACTCTAGCACTTGCTAACTTGTTGTTGTGGCTGTAGCTGTTGCTGTTGCTATTGCTTGCCACTGTTTTGGCTAGCTAGGTGGTGCTGCCACAGCTAGCATGCCGGCACCTGCTACCTGTTGTTGCCACACTGCCCTCGAGGCATTAAATGCATAGTTAGGTTGTGGCGCGGCTGAAACATACATGCATGTATATATATGCACAAGCGGCCATCGACAGTGAATTGTCTAGTGTGCAGTTCTGTTGTTGTTATTATTTGTTTCTTTGTATGTGTATTACTATAACTGCTAACTCGAGTTTTCCATTTACCGCAGTGTTGGAAGTGGCAAACGTCTCTGGCAATCTACGCCGCCTTTGATTTCAGTGATTTTTTCGATTTCATTCATTTATTGCGCACGCCTTGTCCAGTTGCTGCTGCTCAGTTTTTTTCATTAATCACCGTTGTTGTTGTTAGTGGTTGTTATTGTTGGCATTGCAATATTTACAATTAAATGCAATTGGTTGCGCGGAAGCAGCACACACACAAACAAAAGTTTAGCTCTAATCATGCCTTCATTGCTTAGCACTGCGTTGACCCGCAGCAGAAAGTGGGTAGCGATTTTTATTGATTTTTTAATTATTATTATTTTTTTTCTTTCTTCTTCTGTTTTACTTATATCTACTTTTGGCGGATTGCATTATTAGCTTATTTGGTTCAATTTTCGATAGCCACACTTTCTTAAATCTTAAATTTAATTTTTTTTCTTGTCAACCTGTCACTGCTGTCTGCTCCTGATTTCCTGTTGTCGCTTTCGTTATTATCAATATATTTCAATTTCGCTTTTTTATGCTGGCATCGGGTCACCAGGCCAATGGAAAGCGCCGCAAATGCGCGCTTAAAAAGAGAAAATCCGCCAGTAATTACAAAGTGCCAGCCATCAGTGGGCTTTGAAATGCATTGAAAACCATTTCAGACAAATTTTGAAGTTATTGAAATAAAGAAAAGAAAAGTAAAGGAATACATCGATTGTTCGGTTCAGAAGACGTTCTGAATATCACAGCTCTTTGCGTCATCTAGCGCAAAAATAGACTACTGGTCTTTAGAGAACAAATAGTGAATATATCACGATTATACTAAATTTCGAAAAAATTTCTGCATTTATTTAATACAAAAGTATACCAGTGACTATGACATTTAACTATGGTTTCTGGTAAGACTTTTTAGTGGGTTAATTCGAACCAAATACCAATTTTTTAAAACAGCTCGAACACTTCTCAAAAGTATAGTTTCTACATATTGGCCTAGGAAAGAGCTATCCTATTGAGCAACGGGAACCATAAGTGCGATTTGTATAAATAGATTGATACCAAGTTTCCTTACTCGAAGAAAAAATATTTAAAATAGAATAGAAATAGAAAAGGAAGAATAGAAAAGCTTTCTCTGAACCAAATTTCATGTTAATCGAACGATTTAAATTTAATTAAATATTCTGTCCAAAGTTTACTTCCAGTAATTTTTTTTTATCGGATAGCCACAACATTTGCAGGACACAACCTCAAGCCTGAGGTCTATATGAGTGGTTTAGTCTGTGGGTTGAACCACCAGTCTTTTTGGACACAGAAATAATGAAATGAGATATTAAATGACCTGAATTCGTGAACTTGCTCTCATCGCTTACAACTTTAGTATTTTGTCTCCAAAAAAAAAAAAAAAATTAAGAAGAAAGTCTGTCCTCAGACAGGCGAAGTGAGTTAAATTTTTGTATGATGGCAGGATCATCATAAAATTACTTTTGGATATATCAAAGAACTATTGTAGTTTTATTACATTTCGGCCATAGTTTTTGTTTTATGGATTGTCACGGATTCGATTCCTGGTAAGATCAACATCAAAAATTATGGAAGGTTTAAAAGATTGCCGAAATTTTCCCCGTCACAAAGGTGGCACCCGTAACCTTAATACTGACGTTGAGCTCGTTTGTGCGGCATCTGTCGCCGTTCGACTTCAGTTCTCGAAAAAATAGATGGTCTCTTTTCTTTCTACGGCATTGCACACCCAAAATTCTTACCAGAAGGTCAGACAATAGACAATATTCTTGAGCTTTATTCGATATTGTATTGAAACTATTCGATGCAGTAGACGCTGTTAAAGGCAGAGGAGAAAAAAGGCCTCACTCAGTAGAAAAACTTTTCTTCGAAATTTCTCTCAAATCTACTTTTTGTCTCGGAATTATACAGCAATTGCGGTTTTGAACTTGGAACATGGAAAATTTCTTTGTTTTAAAGTAAATAATTTTAAAAAATCATAAAATTTTTTCGGAACTAAAACTATAATTAATATTAATGTCTCTCTTTCTTTCTCCAACAGTTCATATCAATCGCCCGTTAGCGCCGCTCACGTACTCTCTCATCTCTCCATGGCCATTCGCTGACATGTACAGGGCTCGTGACTTGGGCTTACTTGAAAAATGGACTGATGTTGCTACCACAACTGCCAACAATTCCTTCCCACCCCTCGCCTCACCCACCTCACCGAAGGCAACAAAATTCTGCTGCTGTCCGAATCGACGCCGTTATACTGTGAAACAAGCGAAAGCGAGATCCACTTTGGACGCACGGAATATTTTCTCGGATAATGATTTTACGTACATTGACGATGTGCGGGAACAGCTGGAAAACAAAAATTACGGTAACAGCAATAATACCCATAGCAGTAGCAGTAGCAAAAGTAGTGTTCGCAGTAGAGGCGTTCGAAACGATAACAGAAGCAACGAGTGCGCTGATAGCGTAGCGTTAGTCAGCTTTAAAATAAAAAACGGTAGGCAACCGGGCAACCAATTGCAACAAAAGCAACAACACGTCAGCAACTACGTGGACGACTACGACGATATATGTGATGTTGTCGACAATGCCGGAAATTGTAGAATGCTTTTATTGAATGGAACGCACCAACAACAACAAAAACAACACCATCAAGAGAAACAACACCAGTTGAAACAGAGTTTAGAGTTGACCACAAGTAAATGCCACAACACAGACCAACGGCTGCAGCAACACCAACAATGGCGGCATGATAACAGCTGTCATAATAACAGCAACAACAGCAGTGGCAACAATTGTAGCAGCAACAGCAAAGCAGCGGCTTGTGACAGTTACATCTGCGATAGCGAAATCTGCACAAAGGCCATTAGTAACGGTCAGAGCGGTGACTGCAACACGCTGATTAAAGACGATTGTCAGCCAGATGTGGCAACAATAGCAACAAAAAGTTCAGCAATAGCAGTAGATATCTTAGCAACAAGCAATATTGCTTGCAGCAGTTGTGCAGAAGGTGTGAGTAAAAGTGATAAAGCTGTTGTTTGTGAGAAGCAGCGACAGCAAAAGCAACTGCAACAGTTGGCGTGCAAATACAACAGCAACAATCAAAACAGCGATCAACAAACAATCCAAAGACTTAGCGATAGTTTATATAACCATAGCAATAATAATTGTAAGATACATCAACAACAACAACACCAGCAACAAAAACACTACGATACACAGCAACAGCAACAACAATACCTACAAAGTGCTTGCACTAAAAGCAGCAAGAGTAAAGTTAGCAGTGAGCCACGAACGACCCTTAATTGCCAACTTGACTCATCATCTAGAACAACAACAGCAGCAAACACGACATCAACATCAACGAAGGCCGCGCCCGATTCGAGCCAACTTACGATTACACAGCAGAAAGAAAATCAATATAACAACAACAGCAGTGCGAACGCCAACGATAGCGAGAGCGACAACAATAACAAAGGAATTGATTTGCTGAATAAAATGACAATAACCACAACGAATGCGGCGAGTCGTAAACATTCGCGTCTCGAGTGTGGGTTGACACTTACAGACACACCAGCACCAACAACAGCTCCAACCGGAGAATCGGGAATTAACGCGACCACAACGGCAACGGCAACAGCAACGGAAATTGCGCCCAACGGTGCGAACAGAACAACGACAAGCATGGCTGGCAGTACAACAGCGACGGCATCAGCTAACGCGTCCGCAGCCGCATCAAATCAAAGTGTAACAACAGTGACAGCGACAGCATCAACAACAACAAACGCAAGCACACCATTTCCACGACCAGACGCAGGCGCAGCAGTGCAATTAAGAAATACTGCCGCATCACCTACACCAGCCACGTCGCGCCCATCAACGCCCTCCCTAACAACTGTGATCAAAACCACTCTGGTAAAGCGTACTCCCTCGACAGAATCCTCCGCGTCATCGAAAACACCTTCGCCCGTGACTACACCAACAGCGATCACGAAAACTATTGTGACTGCGACAGTGACGGCGCGCGCCTACAGTGCGTCGAGAGCGGAAGGCGGTGGTTGCGATGCAGAATGTGATGAGCAGGAAGCTCAAATGACGGCGATGCCATCACGAACATCCGTCAAACAACGTATAGCAGCATTTGCTTCTGGAAATGGTGAGTGGATATTAAAATTCATTTGTTTTTTTCCTGAATTACAAAGGATTTAGTAGAATATTGTGGAAAATCCTCGTTGATACGAAATTTATCACTCTCAGTCGGAAAAAGTCGGCTTACACTCGCTAAACCCTTTATTCGAATCCAAAATATCTGCTAATCAATCTTTAAAAACCGACAAAAAAATTACGAAGATTGGGCAACAAAAAACGCAAAGATTTCACAGGCGACTGGAAAAAAAATATAATAGCTTTTCCAAAATATTTTATTTAACGAAATAAAATAAAATAAACAAAAAATAGAACATATTTTAATTATATTGAATAAAATAAAAATAAAATAAAAAAACAAAAGTGAAATAAATACGATTAATATAAAAAGGTTAAATAATATAACAAAAAATAAAAAACTGAATTTATTCAAAATAAAATAAAAAAATAAAATCAAGTAAAAAACTATAAAAAATGAAATAATATAAATAAAAAAAAGAAGTTAAAACAAAATAATTAAAATGAACTGAATTAAAAAAAAAAAATTAAAAGGAATAAATTAATAAAAATAAAAATAAACATAAAATTATTTAAAATAAAATAAAAGAAAATAAAATATATTGAGTAAAAAACGAATATTACCTCTAAATAATAAAATAAAGGGTTTTTTTTTGGTAATAGGATGTTTTAATAAGTACTTAGTATAGATTATATTGCATATGTAAGCCTATTATAAAACTCAAGCTAACAAATCTACAAATCCAACAAATTCTTCTGCATTGGTTCACGATAATGATGCTCGTGGGTTTCATTAAAATCATTAGAACCGCACTTATGAGAAAGCATGGAAACATACAGTTACAATTTTAATTATTATAAGCTAGATTAAAAAAAAAAATCAAAACAAAAATCTAAAAAATATTTATCGAAAGAACTACCTATAATGAATTTTGAACTTGAATAGAACGTGATATACGCAGTATTGGGAAAATCCACATACTATAACACACATAAACATGTCGTGTATATACAAACGAGCATCTGCTTGTTAAGCATCAGTTCCAGCATTTCGAAAATGTGAATTTAAAATGTCCATTGAATGCATTTGCCAATAAGTGAAAGGAGGAACAATGTAACAAACGAAAACTGTAGCAATGAGAGAGTACAAAAAATATGAGTAAGAAGAACGCTTCTGACCCAAAGTGCCAGTGAACGAATTGCACTGCAAAATTATCATTATTACTTTTGCCAAAGCTCATAATTGCCCGTTGGTGTTTGTTGTTTTGAGTATGACTCATTTAGAGCGATTCGCGTATTTAAAGTAGAATTGCGAATGAGTCATAATGATGTCGATGCGGTCGTTTTATCTGCTTTATAAGCTTAGAAAAGATGACGGATATAAATAAAAGTGTGGTATCTGAGCAAAGCAACGATGAAAATAAATGCGAGAATTTGAAGCAAAATATCGCGATTTGTAGTCACATCGTTTTTTGTCTTAAAACAAAAATCAAAAAACAATTAATTCAAGCACTAACTATTGTAGCTTTTAGTATTTTTTTTGTATCTGTAAATTGTTTTTAGTTTACTTTCGAACTATTAAGCCATTTATCTTTATATAAAAATGCACTTTAACTAAATTTTGCTACGCGCGAGAAATTATAGCCATTTTATTTGCAGCACTGGTTTAAACAGCTGACGCATGTTTCGTGTTTTGTATCACTGTCAAATATCTTCAGTTTGGCCTATAATTTAACCATGAATCGTATTACAAACGAACAATGCTTGCAAATTATTGAATGCGTTAAGAAAGTTCATCTCGCTCTTCTTCCGCGCGCGCTTCGAAGCTCATTTTTGGATTAATTGGCCAGAAGCATTGCAAGAGATACCAATGCACGCAGAAAAAGTCAATGTTTGGTGCGGTTTTTGGGCTGGTGGCATCACCGTACTTCTTCAAAGATGATGCGAATCGTAACGTAACTGCGAATGGTGAGCGCTAGCGTGAGATGATATCAAACTTCACTTACATGACATGTGGTTTCAACTTGCTACAAAGCGAGTTCGGTGAATATTTTAATTCACGTTCGAGACCGTTCAATTGCCCACCTAGATCGTGTGATTTACCGCCTTAAGAGTATGTTTTGTGGGGCTATAATAGATCTGATGTCTACATAGACATGCCCGCTTTAATTGACGCATTGTAAATATTAGAAAAAGTATGCCAATTGAGGCACAGTCACGGTCAACATTTGCTTGAAATATTCTTCAAACATTAAATTATATGGAACGTACTAGCGATTCCAATAAAGATTTCATACCTTTTTTTTTTTTTGAATTTTATGCGTTTTTTTTAAACTTTCCTATAGCTCTTAAAAAATCACCCTTTATTTTATATATTCTTACCCACTCTACACACAGTGCCAACGCTACGAGTTGGCAGTTTTTGTTGGTGTCGCGCAAAAATTTTCGCATAACATCAACGGTTGTACAAATGGTTATACTTATTGAAAATGGAGTGATATATAACATTACATTAAATAATATAAAACAAAAAAAGTAAATAAATTAAAATGAAATAAAATCAAATAATATAAACTAAAATAAAACAAACTATATAAAAATAAAATTATTGTAAATTAAAGTACTTCAAATTAATTAAATTTAATTAAACAAAACAAAATAAAATAAAATAAAATAAAATAAAATAAAATAAAATAAAATAAAATAAAATAAAATAAAATGAAATAAAATGAAATAAAATAAAATTAAATTAAATTAAATTATGTAAAACATTTTAGGACAGAGTTAAATAAAATAAATTAAAAGTATGTAGTATATGGTGTAATGCGAAATAAATTTATAAAAATATAAACTATGTATGAATATGTAATTCAAAAAGTAAAAAAAACACTTTAAATTCCAAAATTTTCCTTTCTTTCGCTAACTTTTCCACTAAGTTTTTTATTCCTTAATGGTGATCCTATATTTGTCTCTAGCGCGACTGACACACGTTTTTGTGTTATTGTAACCATTGTTGCTTTTAGTGTTATTGCCTTTAACTGAACGAAGTCTTTTTTTCATTTTGATGCATTTAATTTGTTTTGTGCGTATGCACGGGTTCACGGCTTTTTAGCTTTAGCTTTTTATAGTTTAACTGTCGCCGAGATATAAATCACAATAATAATGATAAATTAAAAAAAAGTGATTGGAAAGCGTAAATTGTTTTCTTTTATTAGCATTATTATTTATATTTTTAACTGCTCACGCCTAATTCTTTTATTTATACTTGTTGCCTATTTATTATTTATATTCGTATAAGCGTGCAGAAAACACGTACTCTCGCGTCAATATAGCTATTTTTAAAAGTCGGTCTGTACGCTTTATTTGTAGCGAATAGGCGACACAAAACATTTACCTGACGCTTTCAAATTTCAGAGGTACTGATAGTTTGGATTACGGTCCTGAATGCGTTTAGAGTTAAACATGTTAACTTGTTTTGGTAATGATGGTAAGTAATGCTTATAAAAAATTATTTATCAAAAAGGGCTCAAAAGAAATGCTTTGGAGATTATAATTGGTCCTGTACAAAAGGTTTGATTATATGTTGAGCCCGATAACGTATTAAACTTTTTAAGTCATCAGGTGGACAGTTAGAATAGGGATAGGCTTAGCAGCAAAAACAAAGGACCTTAATATTGGTATGGCCATCCACACAATTCTCCAATCCATGCTCTCCTTGATCTGTCTGCGAATAACGCCTAAATAGCCATCATCGTTGTCGCCGCATTTCATGTCCGTATCGTTGTGTCGTCTCAGTCGTAATCGTTTTCTTTGTTGTTGCAGCTGCAAATTGTTGACTTTTTATAACCTTAATGCCCGCAGCTAAGAAAAAAATAGTAAGAAGTATTTAATGTACATGAAATACGGACTGAAAGGTACACTAGTTTTCCCTACCTGTGTATCAGCAGCGCAATTGTATTGCCACGCATGCGCTTTATTTGGTGCATGCATGCCACCAACGGCTTAGCTCGTTCGTATCGGTCAGCTTTCAAGGAATTGTCGTAGTTTAGACTGAAAGCGACAGCATTGAACGCAGTTTTGATATTAAGTTGCTGCCACAGTGCCAGCGATGTCTATTAAATATGAGGGTCGGCAATGAGTTTCGGAATTCGCACAACTATGGCAAAACTTCCATGAGTGAGAGCTTAACGACGGTGTTTGTGGTTGCCAATAACTGACGCATTAACACGCACAATGCGCGAGGCTAAAATAGATGGGTTCTGCGCTTAGGTTCATTTCTCTGCTTATAGTCCGGTTCACTTTATTGCTATTTATTTAGTTTCCTACAGTTAAGAATCTCATCTTTCCAGATGCTCAAATCTCGAAGCTCAAGAGATTAATTACAATGGTAATATCCTTATGGCAATAAAAGACGAAATTTCCTATAAATCGATAACGTACCGCAGTGACAAAGTGTTTCACAAATTTCTCTTAATCTATGTTCCTACAAATATGACAAAATTCGTTCGAAAAACCAGTTTCCGGTTATTACGCCGGTTTTTATGCTTACAGAAGTCTTGTTTAGAAGAAGTAAAGACTTGTAGTTCTGCTTACTTCGATCAGTGGCCAGATTTGTCTGATGACGTTGTACATAAATCACTCAGCCACCTGCTGTTGGCACCACAATCTACTAATCGTACAGTTTCCGCGAAGTCTCTTACTTAAGGGGGTACAGAGAGGTTCAGAATAAACTCCACAGCCTTTCAATTTAATTTTATGAAACTTTCTTATTCTGATATTTTGTTTTTAAATTACCTAATTGAGTGCCTGTGTAAAAATCGTTGGATCTGCTTTTGAGGCATGACTATTCAGTAATGCTTTTCCGTTACGCGGTTTGCTTAGACATTGCGTTGCGCCATGAACTTATTATTTTTAACCACACTTGACTGGAGTTCAAATAAAAGTCTTGAAAAGCCACCATCTGAAAAGCCGGCCAGTTTCAATTTTGCTACT